TAGATTTTTTTGTACCCTCAGATTCCAGATTTTCAAATATTGTCCTATCCTAACAAACCATACATCAGTGGAAAGCTTATTTATTCAGCTTTCAGATGATGCATAAATCTCAATTTCGAAAAATTGACCCTTATGACTGGTTTTGTGCTCCAGGGTCACATATATTTATAAATCAGGGTTATTATTGTTAACCAAAACTAAAATCATAAAAATATAATTTTGATTGTTTGATGGATGGATGGACCTGCAGCACAGCTATGAGCCGAACCTCTTCCTCCAGAACGTCTTCACTGACACACACGACCCACAGTTCCCGCTCGTCGCCTTCTTCACCAGCAGGTGAGGATGGTTCAGAATCACACTTATGCCGAGTTCACACTGCACGATTTTAGTCCGATTTTTCACTCGCCGACAGGTTTTGCGAAATCGGTGCTCGTTCACGCGAGTGACAATCACACAGTGTGAATTATCAAAGACGCGATCTGAGGGAATCGGCGATTCACAATCACGCTGTGTGAAATGCGTTCTGACTGAAAAACACATCGGCGATGACCTACAGCCAATGAGAGAGCACGATACAGGGCAGCGGGAAGTTCGGGGAGGAGTTATATGAAACGTAGTTTGCGGACCAGTGTTGCCAAATCCGCGATTGCCGCCGGTTGTTTTTCTTGTCAGCAGGTTGAAGCGACCCCAATAACGTGATATTTAGGCCCTGGAATGTGAATTGTACCTGGAGAACCCGGCCAAAAAAATGTGTATTTTACCCCCCCGAACGAGCTATTTTCAGGCTAGTTTTGAGTAGTAATTGGGCGGGTTTTGTAGCGAAAACCTGGCAACCCTGCACCAGACAGAGCTGTTGGCGATTCCTCCTATTGTGAAGTCATGCAGTGTGTAACCTCCTGTCGTCGTTCCATCGTGCAGCGTGAACACAGCAGCAACTGAATGCTGCCCCAGATAGTCTTCAGTGTGAAACCAACAGTGATGCCACGAGTTTGAAAACCGTGCAGTGTGAACTCAGCATAAGAGTGACGCGCAGGAGCTCTGAAACAAACGCTGCTCTCGGTTCATGTCTGCTTGGTTTCTCAGGTCTGTTAAAGCGGGAACTGAACTGAGCTGGAGCATGTGACGCTCGTCTGATTGAGACTGCGGTGAAGCTCCAGAGACGGTCCTCTGCTTCCTCATTACAATTACAATTCCACTGTTAAATGTTTGGGAACTTTTATTCACAATTTTGCCTGATAAATAAAATATTTCAAGCTGTTTATAGAATCGTTCTCTTTATACAAATGGCCATGGCATTTAAAGGGTTTTGTATGACTTTTCCAGGTGTGAAAATCATCTGTTTGTCCATGTTTTCTAAGACTGAAAATCCTGCTTGGTCAATAAAAGAGCTGGAGTAAATTAGAAATATCTGGACGTGAACTTAATACTAGTTTTGTCTCGTTTTGAGAACGACTGGGTTCATCTGAAGAGATACCAGATGAAGTGTGGAGATGAGTTGTTTTTTGGTCCTTTTTGAAAATATATTCAAAATAATGTATATTTTAATCCAACAAAATGTTCACATCACATTTTGGGAAGAAAAAAAAAAAACTGAATAACTCAACTAGGAACATGCTTCACAATTTTCCAAAAATAAGTAATTAAACATTAGATTATAAATCTACTTTTGAGCTAGACTCTCCATATTTGCTTTTAGCCTATACGTTAAGATACAAAACACACTTAAGTATATTTTGGTATCCAAACGTTGAAAGTTTATTACTGAAGTATTTTTCTGCGCTTTCGTGTTTAACATTAAGAAAGGTTCAAGTATTCTTAAACGCAAGTTCTTTTGAAAGTCTCACAAGCTCAAGTTCATCTTTGAAGGCCACAAGCATAAAAGGACCTAAAAGCCACAAACCAGACCAAGATGAGGCCAGTTTAGGCTTGATGTGGGACTTCAGAAACCTTTGCCCTGCTTTCTTAAGTCCTGTACACAAAAAAAAAAAAAATGCTGGGTTGTTTCTTCCCAACTACGGGTCAAATATGGACTAACCCAACTTTTGGGTTTAAAAAAAAAAAAAAAAAAAAAAAAAAAACAAAAAAAAACTCCATTTGGGATTTTTTTTTTTTT